TGTTTGTGTTAGGCAAATGCTGTATTTAGAAGCTCCAAGCCCAGGCCTTAGTCATTAGTTTAGAATTGTAAAATCAAAGTTACCAACAAGAATATAAATGGTTTTTTGTAGCACAATAGTTTTCAGTAGAATCATGTATTTCTTTTCCCCACTCTTTGGCTTTTAATGGTGGAAACCAGTAAGAAAATCTCAGAGTTATTTCCCTGGATGAGAGGAAGGAGGTAGCAGATGCTGTTGCTGTGACACGAAGGGTAAAACTCCAAGTTAGGGATGAGTAGTTTGCTCTAGCCTCTTGTACGAATTCCACATGACAGAAGTGAATAGACTCACCGGCTAATGAATAGATGGGCTACTGGCTGAAGCATTGTCTTTCAATTTCCCTGACCTGGAAACCTGGGCAATCCACTGTAGGGTGATAAACAAGAGTTTAATGTTGGATTTTTTTAAACTATATTTGAATGTTCATTTAGTGTTCTTTCACCAAAAGTGTATTTTCTTGTCTCATTCATCCACTGATGCACTGGATTATGGCAAAATGCCATAATGTTTAAAATAAAGAATACTTACCCACAGAAATTGCTAGGTGACATAACCATGAAATATAGTTTATTTTCCTTTATTTATTTATTTTTGCTTGTTTTTTGTTTGTGAGACAGGGTCTGAACTGATGAACCTTCTGCCTCAGCCTGCTGACTTCTGAGATTGAAGACATGTGCCACTAGACCTGGTTCCCATGATGCAAACTCTTTTGGGGTTTTTCCCTGGCTTTGCATTTCATGTCTGTGTAATAGGGTCAAGTATGTTTTATTTCAGATTCCCTGAAGAAATGAAGAGGAGGGATGATAAAGTAATTATAGGTAGCATTTAATGAGCACAAGCTGAGTACCAGGGTTTACAGCACTATGTTCTGTACTTTGTGTGATTTAATCCTGGCAGTCATCTTATGTGGTTGGTACTATCTAAATGTTCCCATTGCACAGAAGAAGAAACTAACAAGTGTCTGATCACAAAAGCCCTTTAACCACTATACTCTTGTGGCCAGGCTGGTGTACGTTGTTCATTTCCCCCTCTCCATGTAGTTTGTGCAGAGTCTCTAACATATACAGTTTTAATAAACTTAGTGACAGATTTGCCTCTTCAATATGACCATGGCAAGGCCTTATGAGAGTTATTCATCAGAAGACAAGATTCACTTATGCCAGCCATGCAGACAGTTCTTGCAGTCTTACCTGCTCTATCCTGAAAGAGCTCGCCTGCCAGGTGGAAGGCCACTCTCCTGCTGTACTCAGGCCACTTTGTGCCCTCACCAGATTTCACCAAACCCTTCTCTGATCTTTTTTGGCTCTAGGGAAATTAAGGCTACCTCTTATGATAGGTCAAGGGCCTTAGGTCTAAGGGGTATTGAATAAAAGGTAAGTGTAGAGCAAGCTGTTTTGAACAAAAGTGGTGGGATGTGGGTTGGGAAGAGGGAACCATTGTCAGCTTTTAGGTATTTAAGATAGGATCTTAGATGTAATATAGGTGGACTTTTGTTGCTAATCTGAATCCATGTAAGAAGCCTAAGGTGCATCTGTGTCTTGATCACCAAAATAGTCTATGCTGTTAAGAGTGAGATGCTCACTGTTTTGAGGGAAAGCTTTTTGTACATGGTCAGCAGAATATTCTGGCAGCTCACTCAGGAAAACTAGTCATATTCTAAAGCGACATCAGCACATAGTAGCTCTAGTTTGTAGTGTTTGCTCTGTCCTGTAATTGCCTTAGGCATAGGAATCTAACATTCTTTCCCTCTCTTCTCCATATTGTTAGATTAACAGTGTGTAGAACTCACAGGGATGACTTGACTTGATAACATGACTAGCCTGACAATAGCTCTTGATTGATTATGTTTTGAGGCTCTTGGGATGATAGCTGGTTGTCTTCACTGAATTGCCTAAGTGTGAAGCAGACTTCCAGGAAGGAGGGTTCTGATTTACACATCATTTTCAGCATCATACAAAATTAAGTTATATTTATCCCAGAGATTTACCATGGGAGTTTACTGGGGGTAAAAGCCCATGTTCCAGAAAGTTCAGAAAATAATAGAAGAGTTAAAGGTTTCTTTCAGGGTTTGCAGCACCTTTTAATGTGGTGATGGGAATCATGGGCTATAAAAGGTCAGTAGACTCCCCCACAGCATCTCCAGACCTACTTGACCTCAGAACCCTGTTTATCTGTGTTGGAGACCAATGTGTTCTCAGACAGTACGTGCTGAGTGCACAGTCCAGGTCTGCTACCTACCATGGTCTGAACAATACTGTCAACTTCACCTCAGTCTCCCTGTCTGTGTAACAATAATACAGTTCATTTGAGTGTAGTGTATGTTTATTGTTATTTATTCAGGCCTGTTTATGAATAATATAGGCTCTCTATACATTGAGAGTGTAAATTCCAAAAGTCTTGACTTTTCACAAAGAATTTGTCGAAGTAAGAAAGTATCTGAAGTAGAGAATAATATAGAGGTCTAGAATTTGGGGAAAAACTCAAACACATTTTCCAGTTTAAATCATCTGTCTAGTCAGTAAGGCCACAGAGTCATGCTAAAATTAAAATGTTGACTTTGACTAAAGGTAAAGTCAAAGAAAGGGGGAAAACTGAACCAGTGGCAAGAGTTATTCTTGTATTCCTCTAATTTGGACTAGATTGAAGTAGAAAATGTCAAGTTATGAGTAGTGTAGTAACAGACATCAAGCACTGAAAATTCTAGTTTCCTGGATGTATGCTGTGGAAAGAATGAAGTTGGTTGATAATGTCTGGTCTAGGAAGGTGGCGAAGAGTCAGCAGCCAAACAAAAAAGTGGCTTGGGTAGCAAATTCAAAACAGTACAGCAGATGTAACTTACTCTTTAGGTAAAAAAATATTAAGGCTGTTTTTCTCCAGGTCACAAATCAACTGGAGGGCTAGATTTGTAAACACACTAGTAAAATAGGCTTCAAGGTGATAGTAGCCTGGCATGGAATCCCAGAAAACGGGGGGGGGGGGGGGGGGGGGGGGGGGGGTGGAAAGAGGAGGGTAGATTAGGAATCTCAAATTGAAAAGGATCTTAACTTGAAAGTCTCAGGGCTGGTGAGTCTGCTGGTGCTCCCTCAAATAGGGGCGTGTGTGTGTGTGTGTGTGTGTGTGTGTGTGTGTGTGCACGCGCACATGCATGTACGCAGGGATTCGATGTGCAAGGCTGTGAATGAGCCACACTAAGCAAAAACGGAGTGCTTGACAGCTTGTCTTTCAGCAGCCCAGTGCAAAATGCCTATGGAAAGTAAATACAGGGAGTCCTGTTGTCAAGGCGCACCCCACCCACCCCCTCCATTTCCTCCCTCCCCCAAAGTCGCCCGCATTTCCACCCCCTCCCCTACTGCTGGGGTGAGCCCGCGGTGTAAGTAACCAGAGGACTTCTGACTGTAATCCTAGCACGTCACTTTGTTGAAGGCAAACACGTGGTTCCGAGAGAACTTATAAATCTCTCCTCCCTGCAAGATCGTGATGTTATCTGCTGGCAGCAGAAGGTTCACTCAGCGGAGCTCCTGCAGACCCGAAAGAAAGCTAGAGTTCCAGGAGAGAGAGAGAGAGAGAGAGAGAGAGAGAGAGAGAGAGAGAGGGAGGGAGAGAGGAGGGAGAGGGAGAGAGAAGAGGGAGAGGGAGAGGAGGGAGAGGGAGAGGGGGGAGAGGGAGAGAGAGAGAGGGAAGGAGAGGCAGAGAGGGAAGGAGAGGGAGAGGGAGAGAGAGAGACAGAGAGAGTGCGAGAGCGCAGAGCTGGGGCGCCCCGGCTGGCTGCAGAGGGGTGGGGACCCTCGTATAACGGTCTAGGGGGCCACTGTGGAACAAATGGAGAAGCCGCAGTAAGGAGGAGAAAGAAACGGTCTATTTCAGAGTAGCAAGTGCCTACCTCCCCTGAGCCAGAAAAGTGCAGGTGGCTGGACGCCAGGAGAGGGTGTGGGGGTCCGCGGAGCCCTACGCAGCCCCGGGAGGAATAAAGCTCGCCCGCGGCCGCGCCTCCCAGGGGCGGCTTTTGCCGTGTGCAGGGGTGAACGCGGCAGCCCATCCATCCATCCGTCCGTCCTCCGTCCGTCAGTGCGTCCACCCAACGATTGAACGATCCATTTGCCCGTTGCCGGGTCGCCTTTCGGAGCTAGAGGAGAAAGGAGGGCGCAGAAGGAGGGAGCTGGCGGCTGGACACGATCGCAGGCAGTGACAGCGGCGGCGGCGGCGGCGGCGGCGGCGGTGGAGTAGCCGAGCCGATCAGGGTGCGCGCTGGCCCGGGGTGGGGTTGATCACACAGCTCAGGGCTCCACCGAAGCCGCAGGATTCTCGCCGACGACCCTAAGCGCCCCCCGGCCCCCGCCCACCACCTCCGCTCCACGAACAGCACGGGACCGAGTCCGCAGCAGCGCCTGGCCCAAGCCAAGCAGAGCGCATCCGCTTCCCCGGGGCGCGCCGGGCTCACTCCCCAAGGCGCGCACACGCGCGCGCGCGCACTCAGACACACACGTGTGCGCTCCTGGGTTCCAGCTCTCTGCGCCGCCAGTGGAAGGCAGGGCCGAACCTCTCCACTCCTTTAAATATATAAATTGCAGCCTGGGTCTGCTGCATCCGCGTCCCCTCCTGTCATTTCGCCAGCTGCCAGCCCCGGAGACCTTTTTCCATCTCTTGGTTTTTGGCTTGAGGAGCCGAGAGTTCAGATCCGCCACTCCGCATCGGAGACTGACACACTGAACTCCCATTCTTCCTCTGAAATTTATTTCTGCCTAATAGGTCGCTCCTCGCCTGTTTGGTTTTTTTCCCCCCTCTCTCTCTCCGCATCTCATCGTTCCGGGGAGGGGGGGAAACAAACTCCGAACTCCCCACAGTGCAGACTTGCCCTGCCCATCCCACCTCTGCTCACTCGTGGAACGACCTGCGTGGGTTTGGTGGGTTTTTATTTTTGGTGTTTTTTTTTAAAAAGGAATTCAAAGATACATTTTTTTTCCTATTGGGCATCGACTCTTGATTGTTTGAAACGTTTCCTATGAAAAACAACTCTACCTGATCAGTAGTTCTCTTTTTTTTAACTTAAAAAAACTTTTCAAACAACAACAACAACAACCCAACAATAACCCCCCCAAAACCATGCATTACTGTGTGCTGAGCGCTTTTCTGCTGCTGCATCTGGTCACGGTGGCGCTCAGCCTGTCTACCTGCAGCACACTCGATATGGACCAATTCATGCGTAAGAGGATCGAGGCGATCCGCGGGCAGATCCTGAGCAAGCTGAAGCTCACCAGCCCTCCGGAAGACTATCCCGAGCCCGAGGAGGTTCCCCCGGAGGTGATTTCCATCTACAACAGTACCAGGGACTTGCTCCAGGAGAAGGCCAGCCGGAGGGCAGCCGCCTGCGAGCGCGAGAGGAGCGAGGAGGAGTACTACGCCAAGGAGGTGTACAAAATAGACATGCCGCCCTCCTACTTTCCCTCGGAAAGTAAGTACCGTTTATCACTACCACCCCCGGGGGCTAGCCGGTGGAAACTCTCAGAACCGTGAGGAAGGTGTGTGTGTGTGTGTGTGTGTGTGTGTGTGTGTGTATGCGCGCGCACGCTGGGGGGGGTAGGGTGGGGTGGGGTCACCCTTCCCTCTCCTGGTCCCAGTTCACTCCTTTCCCAGTCCTCCCCATCCACTTCTTTTCCAGTCATGTGCTGGAGACTGCCAGCCTTTGAAAAAGCCCACTTTTTCTTTTCTTTTTTTTTTCCATCTCCCTTCCCCCAACCTCCAGTCCTTTGAAAGGTGCCCCCCCCCCCCCCCCCCCCCCGCTCCACCCCGGTCCCCGCATTGACTCTTCCCTGACAGTCTTATGCAACTTGCAGTCTGTCCTCCTGTATTAAAACCCAAGGGCAGTTAAAGTAGGAAATCTTAGGTCCCTGGTTTTCTTTGCCTCTTTCTCTCGAGGTGCATTGAACTGCTGCATAAAGGGTTAAAAAGTAATCCCAAACCAGTTTCTCCAAAAGGCCCCCTTTCTCTTGCAGACCTATCAGCTGGATTCCCCAAACCTTCCCTATTGTCTCTCACCCCCTAAAGGCATCAGCATCACAGCCCATCAAAGCCTGGTTGGAGTCCCCCGCTGGAGGAAAAAAAAATCAATCCTGGGTATATCTGTTGCCTTGGTAGGTGATTATGTTCCCCCAAGGCAAGCTCTTATAACCACTTTCCCCCTTTAACATCATCTCCATTACAACCTCCGTGCTGACCAAGTTTAAGGTTTCATTACTTCAAGTTATACTTCTTAGAATCCACCTAAAGCTGCCTTCTTTAAAAAAAAAAAAAAACAACGATCTCCCCTCTCCCTTCCACTATGTTATTCATCCTTTTCAACTTTGAGTTTGCATTTCTATCCCTTCCTTAACTTTCTGCCGGGACCTCAGTACCTTCTTATATGTGAAAGAGGAAAGACAGCTGATTTTTAAATTATGGTTATTGTCATTGTTGTTGTTTCTGGCTCCTGAGTCTGTGTCCTCAAAAACCAGCTGGCCTTACAGTAGCCATGGGAGTGAAATGATTTATTGTGGAGTTCTTTTAAGGAGAGGGAGGGCGAAGGAAGATGGACAGTGTAGAATTATTTCACAGTTCTTAATAATAATAATAAAAGAATCGGCAGCAGCAGTATCCAGTAATACCTGAGAGGGTTAAATACCAGGAAGAACTAAAAGAAAAAAAAATAAAATCTGCTTCAACAGTTGTGTATTCCAAGTCCTATGTCTTAAACTTTTCATTGGCTGCCTGTTTCTCTCCTCCCCTTCCCATGCCCTATATACTTGCTGGCTGCTTTTGTGAAGTCTCTGTGACTTACCTAAATAGATAATACAGCCATCTTGGTAATTTTAGCCTAGAGGTTTTAATTGCAGGGTGGTGCTTTTCTTTTTTAATATTTATTTTTAGTTTGACAAGTCGTAGCTATGTGACTTGCCATGTCTTGTGCCTGATGGCCGAGGAATGTGGGCCCATGTGCCTAACTAACCCCAGTTTTTCTGGCCACCTTTCTTTTGCTGTATTGTCTCTTCTTTTTGTCCAATGGCACTGTGGATGTACGGAATCCTGGCCAGAAGGATGATTTTATCACTGTAATTATGGCATTATTCAGAATAGTCCTTGGTTAAGTGCACTCCCACCCAGTTATTCTCCACCGCTCTTCCAGAAGTCAAGTTTTCTATGTGGACTAGAGCCAAGGAAATATTAGGAAAGAAGCTCATTGTAATTAGGCCAAAACCATTGAGGCTGAACAAGGAGAGTTGAATCACTTGGCTTTCTCTAGCGTGCGCATGGGTTCTGTTGATATTTGGACAGACAGGCAGGTATGTTATGCAGGACCTGAATAGCATCCTTTAATGGTTGCGTGCAAAAGATCAAGTAGATTGCCAGGGTGTTGGCAACACAGGGAGGTCTGATCTCATTATTGTATAGGAAGGAGAAAATCACTCTCAAAGGCATTCATTCCTCATTCTCAGTTTGAAAGAGGAAGATAAGCTGAGACCTGGCATTGGTATTATGAACAAATTGGAAAACTTCCCCACACTATTAGTAAGATTTCAAAGGATGGCATCTAAGATCAGAGTGTGGATCAGAGTAAATTAAAACCTCTGATAAGCCTAGAATAAAAATATATACACTCAGTTGTTGATAGGCACTCCAGGAAGCCAGTGTTTAGTGTGGAAGCTTGGGAACAGAGAGCTTTATTAATAGTAGATTCCATACAACAATGTAAAGACTATGCAGAAGTTTATAGAAACTAGGCTAACTGATTTCTCAGCACTTTCTAATTGTACTGGAATTTAGTGGACTCTTTCAAAATAAGGGGTGAGGGGAAGAAAAACAAATTCACCCCACCATATTTTTGAAAGCAAATTGAAAGTGCAACCTGGATTTCTATTGTTATTAACCCTTATGAGAGACTGCCTAACTTTGAACTCAGGACTCACCGATTTGGGTACAGGGAAGTAGCTTGCATGCCTTGTCATTTCTTACAGTGAATTAGGCCAGGGTCATAAGCTCCAGAGATGAAGGCATGGGAAAGATCAGTGGTTCATTTTTTTTTAAACCACCAACTTATTAGTGTTCAGGGAGTGGCTTTAGCTCAAGTATTACAAATATGCTCTAATTATACTCAATGAGCTATATATCATTACCAATTGCTGATAGCCCTTTCTGGGGACATTTTATAAAGTTCAGACTAAATATTTTTAGCAATGTGGAGATTTAAAAATAAAAGTATAGAGATATTGTATATGCCCTCAGGCATATTTTGTCTTAAATATTATCCTTGGCCAAATGTGCTATATAAATACTGTAAATATGAATAGAACTGGCCAGGTGCCAAGCTCCTAGTATGAATTTTAGTCAAGAATGTATTTATGGGATATAAATAATACTGTGTCAACATTTAAAGAGGGGGTCTGATTAGTTTTGAATTTATTCATATTGATCTTTTCACATGCTGTTAGTTTAAGGCTCAAAGTGGAGTTCTAGTGATGTTTCCCAATAGTTTGCCCAATGGGAATTAGTGGACTTTGAACAGTTGAATTTCAAGACACATTGACTTAAACTGCACAAGGTTTTAGAAATTCAGAGAGAACAACTTTATAGGAAGAATCTAAATAATTGAAATTTAAAGCCTATAAAGCTGAGGACAGTTAAAAAATGTTTTCATTCTTCTCCTTGGCAGTGCTAGGGATTGAACCCAGAGCCTTGCATATTCTAGGCAAACAATGCTAATACTGGGTCACATCCCCAATCTTGATTTTTCTTTTTTAGATCTTTCTCATTGTGTATGTTCAGACTGCCTCCATCTCCTGAGTACTGGGATTACAGGTGTATTCCACCATACTTGTGTTCCTCACCCCTTTTCTCTACAACACAGTTGGCATGTAGTGTAGTTCTAATTACAGTGAGTTTATGCTATACTTTCCTCCCTTTTACCCCACCCCATCACCTCCACTAGGACAGTTGACAGGGTCGGCAAACATTTTTGGCTATTAGGACTAGAAGGGGAATGATTCTACTGGCCTTCTTTGGGTGGAAGCCAGGAATGTTTCTATCCATTTTAGGTGTGTTTAGAATAGCCCTCCTCCTTCCCATGTACCAATTTTACCAAAGAATTATCCAACCCCAAATGTCAATAATGCCCCTTGTGAAGAGTGCTGGTATCTTGGTAGTTATCTTGGGTAGATGAAATCTCTTAGCAGTGTCATTTTAAGATATTTAAATATTTAAATTTAGATTTAATATCTAATAAAGATTTAAATATCTTTATGGTCAAATGATATTAGAATGAAAATGTTAGGAGGATAATCAGAAAGTTCAATTCTTTAAATATAGTATGGATGATTTAGTATGGTCTATATAGACTATTCTTGTGACCTTAATGAATTTTTCATTCAGTTAGTGTCAGTTAATGATGTTGGCCCTTTCATTAGGGGCTTCAGTCAGCAGCAGTGATATTAGCCAGCATACAGGAAAAGGAAATGAAGAATTATCTTGGATTTTCCTTTCAAGTAAAATAAAATAAGCAGTGTGAATTAATAAAGAGTGGAATCCCTAATCTAGGCAGGCAAAGATAGTGAATAGTTACGTTGGTTTATTCTATCATATCAAATGAGATAGATTAAATATACAGCCTGGAAAATCACCATGAGGTTTTCCTTATAACTTTCACACGAATGCTAAACATTTAATACCATACAATGATAATTATCACTGCAATCTCCTTTTGTATTTCCTCTATGATTTTCCAAGTGAATTTGTGGGGTTTCAAATGACTAGCAATGACATTATGGTTTGAGAAACGTGCCTTAGTATTCTATTCATGAATATGGCTTTCTGCATACAAATTGCTGGTCTATTGGACCAGTTTCCAAATGGAAAGAAATATGAGTAGGATGCAATAGTAGTGCTTTCTGTACAATTTTTATTTTGTAGCTTAAAAATAGATGATAGCTTTGTGAGAGTGTAAGAAATAGAAAGGGCATAGACAGAAACAGTAAATGTGGAAAAGAGATATCAAAAACAGAGTTAGTTGACTTCTAAAATGATTGAGTTTTCATATACAACAGACCAATCTCTCTATTACCTCGGAGCTCATCCTACCTCTAGTGCCTAGTTGTGGTCACATTTACTTTGGCCACATTCTCTCCCTTCAGGATCTCCCTTTTTTATTTTTTATTTTTTGCTTTTCATACTAGAGGGAAACCCTCAAAGGAAATATATAGCTTCAAACTGAACCAGTTAGTGCTTGCTGCCAAGTGAAGCCCATCAGCCTCATCTGTCTCCTGAAGAGACTCCAGCTGAAAGAGGGTGGAGCTTCCTGTGTCCCCCAGTGATCCAGCACCACACACAGGCGCTGCACCTCGTGAATAGTGACTTCTCCCTGGTGCAGACCCACTGATGTAACCTCCTCCATCAGCTTCCCTATAAAGATATGAAAGGATGACAGAT